CCCTCAGCTAAGCGCTTGCTCCAGCATCACGCCGTGTTGATCAGCTCCCTCCGACATCTGGCTCTTTGCGGCCGCCAACTCCCCTACAGCAGCCATGTCCATCATCCTCCCAGACTGGGTGGCTCATCATAATGAAGACAAGAAGGGCAAACTACACACCATCTTCAGCGTTGCCGTGCATCCCGACTCGAGCCGTCTGGCCACAGCCGGTCTAGACACCAAGATTCGCATCTGGTCCACCGCCTCCATCCTCAACCCAACAGACGAAAAAGATCCCAACTCTCACCGGCTACTCTCCACCCTCTCAAGACACACGGGCAGTGTTCTCGTAGTGAGATGGGCCAACTCAGGACGGTTCCTTGCTTCTGGCTCCGATGACACAGTGGCTCTCATTTGGGATCTCGACCCTAGTGGCATGGGTGGAGGCAGTTTCGGGTCAAGCGAGGTCAACATAGAAAGCTGGAGACCTTATCGTCGTCTAGCAGGTCACGAATCTGACGTTGTAGACTTGGCGTGGGCCGGTGATGACGAATTTATTGCGACAGTCGGTCTCGATTCAAAGGTATTCATCTGGTCCGGTGCCAACTTTGAGCGATTACGCACCATCGATGGTCATCAGGGTTTCGTCAAAGGTGTCGTCTTCGATCCCCTGGGCCAATACCTTGCAACAGCATCCGACGACAAAACAGTCAAGGTGTGGCGCACTTCCGACTGGAGTCTCGAACAATCCGTCACCGAACCCTTTCTGACAAGTCCTTCGACCGCCTTTTTTCGTCGTCCAAGTTGGTCGCCGGATGGCAGCTTACTCCTTTGCGCTAATGCCATGAGTGGACCCGTGTTTGTTGCCAGCGTTTCCAAGAGGACGAATTGGGGAAGCGACATTTACTTTGTCGGCCACGAAAATGCCGTCGTGGTCACAGCTTTCAGCCCAAAGATCTTTGTCGGTTTTGATGGCGGAACACATTCTTGCGTAGTGGCTCTTGGCTCGCTCGATCAGTCGGTGTCCATCTGGGTTACTGGCCTTGAAGCGCCTGTCCTCGTGGCCAGAGACGTGTTTGAGCGTCAAGTGATGGACCTTTCGTGGTCCGCCGACGGCTACACCCTCTACGCTTGCTCATCTGACGGTACTGTTGCCGTCTTTCATCTGAATCCAGAGCTCATATCAGATGCCTTGAGCAACGAAAGACTCGAGCAATCTCGAGCCAAGCATGGCGTCAAGCGTATACGCAGCCCCATCACGAATCCCAATGCCGCATCCACCATCGGAACGTCTGATCGCCCCAATGTTCTTCAGCCACGCAAAGCTGGCTTGCCACAACCTGCTCGAATGTCAGTGGCGCCTGTGCCTGTTGCTGGCAGCGTGGCTCGCATTCGACCAACAGCCTCTAAGACTGAACGGCTTCAGCAGACCATCACAATTACCAAAGACGGCAAGCGTCGCATTCGACCTACACTTATGGGTGATGATCTCGGTCCTCCATCTCTACCCACGGCTCACTATGCGCCCGAACCAGTGGCGACATCAAGTACATCAATGTCAAGCATCCAGCAGCGTCAGCTCCCAGCCATGCGGGAAGCGGTAGGAGGTACCACCACAGACGGATTTGGAGCTGCTCCGGGTGTCAACGGCAACCATGCCGACATGGTCAATGGAACCTTCAACGGTGCTATGGCAGCTGCAGCTGCAGCCGCGCCAATGCCTGCAACGGCTGCGCCTCCAGCTGCTACTGCATCGCTGATGCCATACGTGCCAATAGGCCTTCCGTTTGGCATCATGCCTAAAGGCGCAAGTCCCGAAGACATGATGCAATTCTGGACCGAATTCCAGCAACGCTTTGAGCGAGGCAAGAAACGCAAAGCCGAAGACGTCGAAACCGATACCGAAGACATTGAGCCGATCGGCAAGCTACAGAAGGGCAAGACAAGAGCCGAAATGGGTCGAACGCTTGGAGGCGAAACAACGCGTGACACGCCCGGACCGAAGAGAATCATGCGAGAGGCACTGACAGGGGCGAGTGGCATCGTCGAAAATGGCGTTCGTACAGGCGTTCATCTTACTGTGCCAGAGACCTCAAGCTTTTATCGCCGTGACGAGGATGGTGTATCGATCGAAATCCGCAACTTTGACGAGTCGAGGCCAACAGAGATCGCCAGGCTGGATCCTTCGGACAAAGATCGGGTGCTGTGGATCGATTTCAGCCCGACCGCTGCTATCCTTGCCACTGCCACAAAGTTCTTCTCGGCGGCAGCATTGGAGGATTCCACGATTCTCATCTATTCGGCACGGGGTCGAAGGATTGGCAATCTGCTGCTCGACTCGGCGTGCTACCGATTGGAAAGCAATGGTGTTGTTTTGATGGCTGTCACCGTCTCTGGTCTCATGTACCGATGGAACATCCGCACGGACCGTGAAATCCACCGTCCAGTCTCCGTGCTGAATTTGCTAGGCGATCCCGAGAATCTGTTCTCGATGTCGGTGCACGCCAATGGCGCCCCCATCGTCATGCTTCGCTGCGAAAAAGCGTACACATTCGACGATAAGAAACTCGGCTGGGTCTGCATTTGCGACGGATGGTGGGCCGAGCATTCAGAGGCCTGGGACGGTCGTATGCGCAGCCGTGGCAGCGAGGCATCTATCCGCGATCCCGTGCGGGCGATTGAAGCAGAGATCAACACCATGTACGTGCGTCGCGTGCACGGTGAGAACCAAACAGGCGCCCAGGAAGAATCAGATGACGATGAGTCGGCTCCTGTTGAGATGAGCGTACCTGAAGACAAAAAGTCGGACTTTGACATTGCTGTTACTTTGCGCCACCTTGAAGCGAGGATGTTGGCTGCTACGCTGCTCGACAGTGCCAACGAGTACAAAAACCACTTAATGGCGTATGCCAAACGTATCGCAGAGGAGGGCATCAAGAATCAGGCGGAGGATTTGATCAAGTCATTGATAGGTCCCATCTACTATAAGCCAGAAAAGGATCGAGATGTGGCTTGGAACCCGACCATCGTCGGGCTAGATAAGCGCCAACTGTGCGGAACCGTGCTGCAAATTCTTGCTAGACCACGCAACCTGACGTCGCTTGTACAGCCGTACCAAGAAATTCTCAACAACATGAAGGCTTGAGGCTCGGTCGAAGTATCTTCTTTGTTACGTCGTTGACTTTGCAGTACTTCGATTGTACTCGTACCGTACACGCAACAATCATTTGAATCAATTTGCATCAGATCAGCAGAATTTGCGCGGGTTTGCTTCTGTGTGAAGACTGGAGAGGGGAAAAGAGAGACAGATGGCTACTAACCAAAGTTGGCAATTTTCCCGGGATGTTAGGTCGCGGTGAAATCTGAGATTCGGTGAACTGGGAATGAAAATGACTCGACCGTGAACGACTCTGGAAGAATTCAACGGTGCAATCCTAAGAAGGCCGTTTTATCGAGATTTCAACTCGAGACTGCTCACCCCCTTCGGCGACCCAGTCGAAACTGATAAGATCTGATTTTGCTCTTACCACATTTCTTCCATCATCTCGCACACTGTTCTATCCATTTGACATACATCATTGGCAGTCAAAATACGGTAAATACGATGTCATCATCTTCGAAAAAGCTCAAAGTCGGTGTGCTCGGCGCCACCGGTACCGTCGGACAGCGATTCATCCTTCAACTCGCTGACCACCCGCAATTCGAACTCGCTGCTCTTGGTGCATCGTCCTCTTCGGCAGGCAAGTCGTATGCTCACGCGGTCGAGGGGAGGTGGAAGCAGATCCGCCGCGTACCCAACAACGTAGCAAATATGCAGGTGTACGAATGCAAGCCGGAGCACTTTGCCGAATGCCAGGTTGTCTTTTCAGGTCTCGACTCTGGACCGGCCGGTCCAGTGGAGGATGCGTTCCGCAAGGCCGAATTGAGGGTCTTTTCCAACGCCAAGAACTACCGCACAGACCCACTTTGCCCACTGGTCGTTCCGCTCGTCAACCCAGAACACATGGAGATCCTGCCATATCAGAAACAGCAAATGGGCACCAAGACCGGATTCATTGTCACCAACGCAAACTGCTCGACCACTGGCATTGTCGTTCCCCTCAAAGCGCTCGAGCAGAGATTCGGACCATTGGAAAAGATCTTGGTCAATACGATGCAGGCCATTTCCGGTGCTGGCTATCCCGGTGTCTCGTCCTTGGATATTTTGGACAACGTTGTTCCATTCATCAGCGGAGAGGAGGAGAAGATCGAATGGGAGACAGCAAAGATTCTTGGCGGGATCAAGTCCGACAAGACCGCATTCGACTATCACGAGCAGGATCCGTTGAAGGTTTCGGCGCACTGCAACCGTGTGCCTGTCATCGATGGTCACATGGAATGCGTCTCGGTTCAGTTCAGGAAGCGACCTGCTCCTTCTGTGGAAGAAGTTAAGAAGTGCTTCGAGGAGTTTTCTACGCAAGCACAGGAGATTGGCGTCCACTCGGCTCCCGCACAGGCCATCACATTGCACCAGGAGAAGGACCGCCCGCAGCCTCGTCTCGACCGTGACTGGCAGAATGGCGCTGGTGTCAACGTCGGCAGGGTTCGAGAGTGCCCTGTTTTGGACATCAAATTTGTGGTGCTCTCGAACAACGTTATGATTGGTGCTGCCACCAGCTCAGTCATGAATGCTGAGATCGCTCTCGCCAAGGGCTACCTACAGTGATTCTCAAACATAGTTTTGGCTGTCCATTATTTGACGCAATGCAACATCCATCTGTCAATCGAAATTCGCTCTTTCTCTTTCCGTGCTTTCGTGCTTACCCATAGATCGACGAGATGAATCTTGTCAGCTCCCAGACAGGCACCGGCATACTTGCGATGCCATGCAAATTGGATGCACGGGACATTTGATCCCCTCAACGGTTAGAGTTGGCCAACTTTCAACGACCGGCAGTGGAAGTCCGACACTCGCAGAGATACTTTTCACAACAATCTATACTCAAGTTATATATATGCAATAATTCTCTTAGGTTGTGAAGAGCTTCTTAGCGCAGTAGGTAGCGCGTTGGGCTCATATCTCATCATGAGACAAAAAATCCTTTCCGCCGTAAGGCGTTCCAACCCAAAGGTCGTCGGATCGAAACCGACAGAAGCTATTCTTTTTGTTTAGTTTTCTGACCAGCCCAAACCTCACTCAACTGTTCCTTCGTTGACTGCTTCTTGTCGTGTCGTATCATTGAGCTTCTCTGAACGACTAACGAGGCTGTAATTGTATTCATAAGCTGCATGGTGTCTTTCATTCCGTCATGTACTTGATGATATTTTTCCATGCAAATCGAGGAACGGTGGTTAGAACGAGTTCAAGGTGCGTGGTGAGTGGTGCGTGTAAGCGTGTTCGTGAACAAGAAAGGCAGATTCGGGGTGCGTAGCGGTGTGACTAGATAAAATAAAAAGGTCTGCAAGGTGCCAAGGACAGCAATGTCAGTAAAATTAACAGTAGAATATACAGAAATCGGGTGAGAGATGTGCGTGTGTGGTACAGGGTGTTCGTTCTCCTTCGTCTGATAGGCTGGCCATCTTCCAAGCAGCAGCAGCATCCATGCACCTTTGCATCTATCCTTCATTCACCAGAATTTAGCAGCTCTTTGCTTCATCTTCCTTTCGCTGCATTCCATGCTTCTCTTGCCGAACAATCGAGTCCGCCCTTGACACCCCCTGCTAGCCATATCCGATCTTCGCTCAACCCTTTTGGAAATCTGTGGATCTCAACACCTCCGGCTGTGCATCTTTGTGTAGAGCATCAAACTTTTCAGCCGCGACGCCCGCAAAGCGTATCCCATAGGTAGCCATCGACAATGTCGTCTCGGCCTTCCGCAAAAGTGCTCTCCGAGTCGCCGCGTTCCTCACCACCACCTCTCATCGGTACAACATCCCAGAACGGTTCCACTCCTCCCACCGGCAAGAATTTGACGCGCCAGCGATCGTCCTCGCTACAAAAAGGCGCTGCTGTGCTAAGGGCACTGTCACGAGCCGAGTCTGACCTTGATCGTGACATGCTCGAGAGAGATTCTGTGCTGCAGACAAATCTAGCGAATCTGACAGCGCCAGTTCAAGGCACAGCCGCAGTCACCGAAATGCCCGCTAATGGATCCAGCAAGGTCAACGCTAGTTCAGATGGCTCCGGACTTCGGCAGCGATCGCAGGCCGTTAAGCGTCCTTCTAGCAGCTCATCGTCAAGCCCACGCACCGACGGCCCTGTAGTGCCAGCGAACAAAAAGAGCTGGGAGATCCCCCGCAAGATTTTTCACAGTTCAATCGGATTCATGGTGCTTCATCTCTACCTCTCCGGCACCAATCTTAACGCCATCGTGCGGAGTCTTTCGTACTTTCTTGGCATCGTTGTCACAGCAGATGTCATCCGCCTTAACAATGATGACTTTGAAAGGCTCTACGAGAGGGTGCTCGGCTTCCTCATGCGTGAATCCGAGAAAGACAAGGTCAATGGTGTGGTTTGGTACCTTGTCGGTGTCATCGCCTCGCTTCATTTCTTCCCTGAAGACATTGCTTGTGTCTCAATCATGATACTTTCATGGTGCGACACTTGCGCTTCCACATTTGGAAGGGCCTTCGGTCGATACACACCACCTCTTCCTTCCCCTCCCTTCGCCCGCCGCAAGTCCACTGCCGGATTCCTTGCAGCAATCATTAGCGGCGCGCTCACTTCGTACCTCTTCTGGTGCACTTCGATTGCTTCCGCCGGTGTCCGTACCAACGGCATCTCCTGGTCCGGCTCTGGATATGCCCATCCAGCCATCTTTGGTACTGACCGCGTTCCAGGTGCTGCTGGGACCGGCTGGGAGAGTCTCTCGGTCGGCTTCCGCGGCCAGAGCGGAGCTGGTCTCTTGCCTCGAGCATCCGGCTTGTCGGCTCAATACCTTGGTGCGGACAGCATTGCGAAAGGCAAGCTTGGCACCGATGCGCTGCCTATCTACAACGACGTTCCAGGAATGCCGTGGTGGCTGCTTACCCTGGGATCCGGCGTTATTGCCGGTGTAGCTGAGGGGCTCGAGCTCGGTGGTGTCGACGATAACCTCTCGCTTCCTATATTGTCGGCGACAGGTATCTGGACCTTCCTGTACTCCTGGGGTCGCCTTGCGACTGCTTGGCAGAGGTGGTTCTCTTGAGCTTCGATCTTGACAGAACACAATATCAGTGAAGGAGAAGAAGAGGGAACCCACACATAGAGCTCGGGTACTCAGAAGAATGGAGAACGCGACCAAAGCCAAGAGACCTAACCCGCCCCGTACACTGCGCACCTCAGACATGTGGCCGTTTTATACAATCTTGGCAGGTAATACCCACTTCATGTCCACTAGACTGCGATGGCTCCGCGGAAACGGAAACCATAGAAAAGAATTAAATGATCCGTGTTGCTGTTGTGTATGTGGACGTGCTTACTTGTTCCATAGACGAGACGAAAGTTGAGATCAAGTCGTAGTCTCAGGAATCGAGTTTCCTCTTGACTTTGTTCAGGAACTTTGACATTCCAGAGCCTGCTTTTGCGTGATCCTGATCTTCTTCGTATACCGGGCCCGGTTGGATGGGTTGATTGCCAAAGTGCTGCATGTCGTCTTCCTGTTCCGCTCCCAGGCGCAGTCTTTTCCCACAATTAGGCCTTGAAGAGAGGAAGGGCGTTCCGTCGCTTTCAAAGCACAGTCTCTGAACACACATTCTTCGGTTGCCCTCCTCCCTTTCGAGCGCATGAAAGATGATAAAGTGCTCCTTCTCTACGCCAAGCACGACACATGCTCCGCCAGGCCCCATGATGCTTCGTGATCGATCGGTCTCGAGGAGCGGCTTGGGCGGGCATTGATAGGGTCCGAAGATTCCGTTGTGCGAGATCGAGTACGAGGTTGCATAAGTGCCGTTTGTAAAAGTGCCCGATGAAAAGAAGAGGATGTAGGCGTTGCTGGGTGCGTGGTGGAAGAGGTACGGTGCTTCAAGTAGGCCACATTGATAGCCATGTTTGGGCCCTTGAAGTGGATGCATGTCGCCGATGAGGGAGAGACCGTCTAGAGAAAGTTCTGAGAGCCACAATTGGGGATGCTCGGTATACATTTTGTCCCAGTCGGACTACAGGCAGATGAGAAAGTAGTGTTTGTGTCAAAGTTGTGAGCTTGTGCTCTGATCAACAAAGATCAAAGGGGAAAGCGGACTTACTTTGTACACAAGAAAGCGCTTGCCGCTGGCAGGATCTTCGAAAGGTTGTGGATCCAGCGTGCCTCCGGACTCGCCCTGTGAATTGTCAAGGGATGCAAGTATAAAATCAGCACGAGATCATTCATCTTTTTGACCAAGAAATGCAGCGCCAGACTTACTCTAGAGATGAGCGGACGGTCGGTGATCCAGCGGTAAGGACCTTTGGGATCACTATCGGAGTAGGCAACGCCGATACACTGCTTCTTGTAGATAGCATCTTGGCATGAGACATACATCAAGTAGCCGCCTCGGCCTTGAGGAGCTTCAATCACCTCGGGAGCCCATAGGAAGCCCTGTAATACAAGACCACGTCGCGAAAACGCAGATCGTCAGGGCTTGCTTCCCCTAATGCTCAAGTTACGTACGCCTACTCACTGGAGCGCCGGACTGGTAAGGGGGAAGAGGTCCAGGAAGACAGTCGCTTTCATGATGGGACCACGAGCAAAAATCTTTTGTGTACGAGCATTGGATGTTTTTACCATTACCGTTGGTGCCGAAAGCGTACCATGTTTGCGAGTGTTGGTCATAATAGACGCCAGGATCGGCAAAGTCGTGACCAATGACTGTGTACAAGAAGCTCACAAGATCATCAATAAACCAAAAAGCTCTCTATATCGACAGTTGGTCCAAGAAGTGAGGTGCTGCGTACCTGGATTGATGTAGCCTAGATGAGGATGAGCTGGCATCGTGTCTCAATCGTTCCAAGAGAGATTTGCGATTTGGGTGGAAGGAGGCGAGAAATCAATGCGCCAGCTTCATATATGCTGTAGCAATCTGTCAACACTCTTGGTCCAGAGAAAACAAATTGCGGTCGAAAGCGACAAACGGCGGCCATCAAAGCCATTTCGTCACTGTGTTCAGGATCGAAGCAAACCTGCAGAATGAGCATGAAATCTTGTGGTCATGAATTGTTGTGACCTCAACACTCTATTATTGGGCTCCGTCTAGCTGAGCGGTGCACAACCAGGCCGATTTAGTACTTCCGCGGATGTGGAGGTGCCGGGTGCGGGTAGTTAACGAAATACTACATAGTCGCGGTCTAACATACTGATTGTTGTATGACACATGCGCATCTATGTTAATTAGCATCCCTTCAATTTTGAGCGTGAAACAGGTGGTGACACGGCCGATTGACTTCAGAGAGGACAGACCACACTTGTCAAGGCCGGCTGTTGCGGAATTCCAGCTTTCACGCTTGAGTAAGATTTCAGCCCATCCTTTCAGTCAATTCCACCTTGTCTCCAAAGCATCACACGAGCAAACGGAATGAACATTTTTTGGCGCCGCTAACTGCTGTTTCGCATCTCGTAAGCCGTTGGGACTTCAACGAAGGATCGCCGTTCCAGCAATCGAAGTCTTTCCTTATCCTGCCACGGTGCTCAAAGTAGAGACAAGGTGCCTGTGCCTTTAGGTCTGTAGGATAGCAGCGGTCGCTGCGAGTGAAGGTCTAAAGTGGTCAACATGGCTCTTTGCATGTAGAGCTTCATCACACAGGAGTCTGCGGATGCACCTGAGAGAGACTACCTGCTTCGAAGCTAAGAAAGAAGAAGAGCTCAAGATCGACATCTTCGATAATGGCCCGCGTTGTGCTGCTGAATGTAACACCAAACAAGCACGCAACCCTTCTCGGTTTAATTTTTAGTAAGGAATGCTCAGCCCTAGCTGCCCCTCTTTTTCGAATTTTCGGATTGGCTCTCCGCCGAAATCAACGCACGAGCACCGGATTAGGCAAAGCTGCAGATACTGGTGCACAGACTGCAGAGACCAAAATCGGCTTTCAACACTCAAACACTCACGCTACTGTCCGTCCAAACTGTAGAATCAGACCCTGTACTGCTCCAGCTGCTTCTGTATCCCACTCACTGTCCTACAAACCAAGTCCTGTAATACCCCGCAC